TCTAGAACCAATGGTACTGAAGGAGGAAGTCGAAGCTGCAGTGAAAGAATTGGCGAAGAACAAGGCTCCAGGAATTGACGGAATACCCACTGAGATATTTTGACAAACAGATGCCCCATTGGAGGCACTCACTCGGTTATGCCAAGAGATTTGGAAGACAGCTACCTGGCCAACTGACTGGAAGAGATCCATATTTGTACCCATTCCAAAGAAAGGTAACCCCACAGAATGTGGAAAATTATAGAACAATATCATTAATATTGCACGCAAGTAAGATCTTACTGAAGATAATTCAAAAACGGTTGCAGCAGAATATTGACAGAGAACTTCCAGAGGTGCAAGCTGGATTCAGAAGAGGACGTGGAACAAGGGATATCATAGCTGTTGTCAGATGGATCTTGGCTCAAGGCAAAGAATACCAGAAAGATGTTTACTTGTGTTTTATTGACTATGCAAAGGCATTTGATTGTGTGGATCATGACAAATCATGGATAACATTGAGAAGAATGGGAATTCCCAAACACTTGATTGTACTCATGAGGAACCTGTACCTTGACCAAGAGGCTGTCATTCGAATGGAACAAGGGGACACTACATGGTTTAAAATCAAGAAGGGAGTGTGTCAGCATTGTATTCTTTCCCCACATTTATTCAATCTGTATACTGAGCAAAAAATCCAAGAAGCTGGACTGTATGAAGAAAAACGTGGTATCAGGATTGGAGGAAGAATCATTAACAACCTGAGATATGCAGATGATACAACTTTGCTTGCTGAAAGTTAGGATGACTTAAGACACCTACTGATGAAGGTTGAAGAATACAGTCTGCAGTATGGATTACATCTCAATATAAAGAAAACAGAAATCCTCACAACTGGACCAATGAGCAGCATCACGATAAATGGAGAGAAGATTGAAGTTGTCAAAGAATTCACTTGCTTGGTTCTACAATCGATGCCAATGGAAGCAGCAGTCAGGACATTAGATCACATGTAGCACTGGAAAGGTCAACCACGAAGGAACTGTTTCAAGTGCTGAGGAGCAAGGATGTCGCCTCGAGGACTAAGGTGCACCTGACACAAGCCATGATATTTCCATCCGCCTCGTATGCATGTGAGAGCTGGACAGTGAATAAGGAAGACCGAAGAAGAGTTGATGCTTTTGAATTATGGTGCTGGTGAAGAATGCTGAAAGTACCATGGACTGCTAAAAGAACTAACAGATCTGTCCTGGAGAAGTGTACCCTAAATACTCCTTGGAAGTGAGAATGGCCAGACTTCGTCTCACCTACTTTGGTCATGTTGTCAGAAGAGACCATTCCTTGGAGAAGGATGTCATGCTTGGTAGGGTGGAGGGTCAATGAAAGAGGGGAAGACCTTCAACAAGATGGATTGACACGGTGGCTGCGATGATGGGCTCAAGTATAGCAGGGATCATGGAGCTGGTGTGGGATCAGGCAGTGTTTCATTCCGCTGTGCGTAGAGTCAGTATGAGTCAGAAATGACTCGATGGCACCTAACAATAACAACAACAGAACTCAGAGGTTTGTGGTTCAAACCCACCTAGTAGCACCATGGGAGAAGGCAAGCCTGGCATTCTGTTTCCATGAAGGTTACAGCCAAGAAAACCATATAGAGCAGTTTTACTCTGTAACACATCAGTCACAAATCAACAACAATGACAAAAATTGAGATTTAGGTCTCCAGTGACAAACCTTTCTCCTCAATCAGGTGCTTGTTGTACTTAAAACTGGTTTGCTTAGGGTGTGATTGTGTGAAAGGCCGAGTTAAAAAACATAGACACAGTTTAGGAAATTTGGCATCTAAGAGGATCTGAGTAGAAGAGGTAATCTCTGCTCAGAAATAGTGCCAAAGGTGACATACAGATGATGAGTAACCTCTTCAAACAAGCTAGGCTGAGGAGATAGCACCTTTTGGTTCCTTGTACCAGGTGCCCTTCTTTGCTATGCTCCTGTGATTTATCTGTAGGTGCCACGTGTCAAAGAGTGAACCTGTGGCCCAAATCCACCCTACCACCGAACACCAAAACACAAAACTAAAAACATCAACAACAACAATAAAAAAGTTGTTTTCCAATCTGATTCCACAAGTCAGTAACCATCTATCATCTCTCAACCCCCTTGTACAAATCATCACCAAGTCCTTTTGATCTTTACCACTGAAATACCTCTTAAATCATGTCGCTTCTCTATCCACCATCACTACCCTGGTCCAGGATATCATCATCTTGTGTCTGAACCACTGCAGTAGCCTCATAATTAGTCTCTCCACTTTCACTCTGGCTTCCAGTCCATTCTCCACACTGTAGTCAAACAATCTTTTAGAGGTACAACTCTGATCATGTCAGCACCTCTCTAATTAAAACCCTTCAGTGACACCACATTGTTCTCATGGTAGCTGCGGTCTCTTCATACAGCTCACCTCAACTTGCACCATGGTTTCCTTCATACTGCTCTCTCTGCCTCCTGTTTCTTCTTCTCAGTCTCTCCTTCCTACCATGGGAAGTGCCTGGAATGCCCTCTCCAGCCCAAGAGTTAACTCTCAAGTTCCTTAGATCAAATGTAAGCCTTTCCTGCCCTCTCAGGTAGGTCATGCCCCTGTTCTGTGTTCTCAGGACACTGTGTCCCCTTTCTTCAGAGCACTTATCAAAATTTATAACTGTATATTTATTTATGTGTTTATTTGATTAGTATCTGTTTCCTTCACTGGACTATAATACAAAGACCACATCCATTTTTGCCCATCATTGTTTTCCTAGTGACTGGCATGAAGGACCAAAACCAATTCCATCAAGTCAATTCCAACTCATAGCAACCCTATTGGGCAGAAAAGAACAGCATCCTAGGGTTTTCAAGGCTGTAAATCTTTATGGAAGCTGGTGATTTCGAATCACTGACCTTTCAGTTAGCAGCCAAGCTCTTTAACCACTGTGCTACCAGGGCTGCTTGGCAATAAGGGAAATTCTCAACAAATATCTGTTGAATGTTGTTCTTGTTGGCCCTATTGGCAACTTAATCTAACACAAAACAGGATTTTTTCAAGAATTTCCTTATATTTAAAGATAATATTGGTCCAAAATAATTTTTTATTTTGTATTGTCATTTACGAATTCAGTGTGTCCATCATAGTAAGAAAATACTCTCTCAGTGGAACATTCCCTTTTACCATTGGAATGGTCTCTTCATTTGTCTCATTTGGCATCTGAATCTCCAGAATTGCATAGGCTAAAATTTTAGAAAAGGAAAAGATACATCAGTATACATTTTCTATTTCATTGTATGTCTGTAATATTGCATACATACATGGTACTCAATAAATGTTCATTGATTCATTTGTTATATATTATTTTAATTTGAAAAGTAAATAACCACAGTATATCATTTTGGGAGGAAAACAAAACAAAAAATATAAAAAATATAACCCTACCACTCAAAACCACTATTAGATTTTGGTATATGACCTTTTCGACTTTTTATATGCATTTTTAACATTGCTGTAATTACAATGTAGATAAAATGCTGTGTCCTGCTTTTTTTTCCCTAAATAACATTATTCATTGATCAAAGTATTATACTGCATCATTATATATGACATGTTATATGAACCTAATTTATTCAGTTCAATTTAATAAACATCTATTAGGAACCACATTGTTCTAGGCATCATTTTACATGCTTAATATCTTTCAAAGAAACTGTATCAATTTGGTACCTTGCTTATATAATAACAAATACTGTAGTTCTGAACTTTTGGTGATGTTTTCACTTCACAGATTTTGTGTCATCTCTTGTGCTTCTTCCCTGAAAAATAAAGAAGCAATACTTTTCTCTCATTTATTTAACAACCTCTTTATTGGTTCATGCAACAAATTTATTCAGGGCTTACCATGTGCCAGATACTGTTCTAGGTATTGGAGATATAACACTGAATGGAACAAAGTCCCTGCATTCTAGTGAGGGGAGACAATAATGAGTGAGTGAATGAGTGGATTGAAAGAGGTCGGGTGGTAAATAGGAAAATGATAGGGTAAGAGGCATGGAGAATAGCATGGAGAGGAGGGCTGCTATTTTAGGTAGGGCAGGGAAGGCCTCTCCGATGGTGACATTTGAGCAGAGACCTAAATGGAGTGAGGAGTGAGCTGTGCAGCTGTCAAAGGGAAGATTTTTCCAGCCAGAGGGATTATCAGGTACAAAGGCTCTGAGGCAAGAGTGTGCAGTGGTGTTTTCAAGGAATAGCAAGGAGCCAGTGAAATGGGAGCAGAGTGAGAAAACAGGGTTGAGATAGAATCTGAGGTCAGCGAGGGAGGGAGCCAGCAGGAGATTTGGAGGGTTGAACGGGCCATGGTGAGGACTCTAGTTTTTTCTCTGAGATGGGAAATCATTGGAGTAGTGACACACTGACTCAAGCTTTAACAGGATAATTCATTCTCTAGCCTTCTCTGTTCCTTCTGTGAGGCCCTTCAGTTCCTCTCTTTATCCTGTCTGGATGAGTCACTTTGTACCTGTGAATCTTATCACAGACTCCTCATGTACAGTAGCTCATTCCCTGTGTGTATACATGCTGGTGGGTAACCACCACACCACAGGCTGTCACCATCTCAGATTTGGTAATCACTGCTCCAAGATATTAGGCATATTCCATCTATTTGAAAAACAATGACTCTGAATTTCACATTGCTGTCTTTATCTCTTGATCCTTTGAGGAAATCACTCCTTTTGAAAAATTATGACCCAGTATCTTATCCAGCTAGGACATACTATCAGTTTATAATTACAAAGCATGCTTTAACCTCTGACGTTGCCAGAAACCAGCGTTTTTTGGAGTTAACCTAATTATAATTTTCCTTGAGTTGCTTTATGGTTAGAACTGTCACATGCCAAAGTTAGATCCCATTAGCAGGCTTAAACATTTGTTTCTGAAAGAACAAACTGTTACAGGTTGCTTAGAGTAATTGATTTCTTTTGTTTTCTTTCTGTTACAGGAGGAGACAGCACAGCTTTCCCAGATTGGGAGTAAAATATGGAATGTGTTTTACCGCTGACCGAACACAACCAAATGAACTGTACTGACAGTAGTTTGAAAACCAGCAGTTAGCAGTTTGTTCAGGCTCTAACATTGTCCAGTACTTTCCAGAGCAAATTCACTGTTTACAAGAACTCTCGGCCTTACGAAGTTTATAACCTCAAGCTTTGTTATTTTAACTATTTCTGCAAAAGAAAAGTACCTGGAGCCCACTGTCCAAAATGGCCATGGATGAGTATTTGTGGATGGTCATTTTGGGTTTTATCATAGCTTTTATCTTGGCATTTTCGGTTGGTGCAAATGATGTTGCCAATTCATTCGGTACTGCTGTGGGCTCTGGCGTGGTGACCTTGAGACAAGCATGCATATTGGCTTCAATATTTGAAACCACTGGCTCAGTATTGTTGGGAGCCAAAGTCGGAGAGACCATTCGGAAAGGTATCATTGATGTGAACCTATACAACGACACAGTAGAAACACTAATGGCTGGGGAAGTTAGTGCAATGGTTGGTAAGTAGCTTTATTCTTAACTTTGATAAGAAATTTGACCATTGACCTATTTTCTCACAGTTTTGTTATATCCATGAGTGCAGTTTTTGCTTTAACTTTTCAAACTGGTTTTATGTTTCATATTTAATATCTTATTTTTATTTCCTGCATTTTAATTGACTCTTTTTTTAGTGCTTCTATATTGAGTAAATACTTATTTTCTCAAATTTTGTGCAAACTTGGTGATCAAAATAGATTTTGGTTTAGTAGACACTTTTCATAAAACACAGAAAAAGATATTTATAGTTCTATTTAATGTATTATATTAAAGGCTTACTTGTGAATTTTCCTTAAGGATTAATTTACCTATTTTCTTAGATTTCTTTATCTATTAGGAGGCAATGTTTGGAAAAATTAGATGCCATAAAATAATATTTATTACTTAGACTTTTACATTCTCAGCTTAAATTCTAGGACAATTACCAAATAAATCTTAATTTTAAGTACTAATATTCCAAGAAACTCTGGTCTTCTATAGTATTTGTAATCCTTTTGTTGACTTCCGTTTTGACTTCCCAATTCTACTTCTGGGAGTTCCATTTGGTATGTTTGTTTTGTTTTCCTGCCAGAAGTTATTTTTATGTTACCTGTTAGTAGTCTGACATTTTCTTGGTAGTTTTAAGTTGCCTGGATGAAAGAGAAGTATTGAGGTAAGTGAAATAAATCAGTAAGCAGATTTACTGGTTGTATAGGATAAATTCTTCAGTCCCCAAGGTAGCTATAGACCAGAAGCACTGTGGGGGCACTTCCCTTACAGCCCTTGCCACAGCTGAAAAGGAAATTCTAGGCAGGAATGTGTTAAGTACAGCTGACAGGACTCTTTTTCTGCTTGCCTCTAGGGAGAGATGACGTCACAGCAGACAGCTGATCTATACGAGTAATTTGGTTAGGGAGAAGAGGGTTAGAGAGGAATTCTACCACCTGCTTTCAACAGGACAAATCCTTTTGTAGGAAGAGTCCTGCAGTAGGAGGTAAGATTCTGGTGTACCAAGAACACAGCTACATTCCACAGGTCCCTAGTTATTTATTATTATCACAAGCATTTCTTAAGCACCTGGAATATGGAGATTATTTGCTATATATAAGAGAGCCATCATCCCTTTATTACAGCAAGATAGTTTGAGAAGTTGTTGAGGCTTCTGATTAGAAACAGACCAATATAGTAAAGTATTCAATGTTATTAAGTACAATAGGCTGTTGGTATATGTAAGGATTTCTATTTCTTGACTGACTGCTTGTGTTTAAAGACAATGTACAATTTCTCATATAAAAACAATTATTTGCAAAATTTACCATAAAAATTGTGATGGGGAACTGAGACTTCATCATACCAAACTGAAATGAAGATTTTTACCAGTCAGGATGATGTGGGCAAGATGTGTTGTAATTATAGGAGAAATAAAGAAACACACAGATAAAATGAAATCTTAAAAGTTTTTATTTCCTCTGTTGGATAAACTTTTGAGGAAATAGATTTGCTGGGATCTGCCGAGGACCTCAGTTAGGCAGAAAGCTTTGTGAACTGAGCATCATGTCAGTGCAGACTTTTCATGTGGACAGTATAACTTTTTGTCTTTTTAGTTTTCCCACCCCAGCCTTGGGCTCTTTACTGAAAGAATGAAGGGCACTTACCTCAGCTAGAATTTAGGTTTACCAAAGCAATTTGAGGTTTTGCTTGAATAACTTGATTTTGTTTGTTTTGGTTTCTTACTTCTGGTGTGTGGTTGGATGAATCTCAAGGTCCATTTTGTGTGGAATTCGTATGAGTTACCTAGATTTTGAAAGCTGGGTTCCTGGCAAATGGCAACTTTGTAAATATGAGGTGGTGGTATAATTATTATTGGCCAAAACCAAAGCTGATTCTGTCCAGATGCCTAAATTGTCCCAATCTTCCTTTTCTAAAAAATCAACATCCATTTCTTCTTCTCCCTCTTTCTCTGCCCTTTATTCTGTTTTACTTTATTTTCATTCTTTTCCTGTAGAATCTTCTCCCCAAGCCCATGAGCCTCTGTGCTTTGTGATAGGCTAACCTTCCTGTGCACATTATCTGTTTGGATTCAGCTCATCCCTAAATAATCCATTTAGTAAGAAACCATCAATGGTTACAAAAATCTACTGAGAATTTAAAACCCAGCACCTCCTCAAATAGCCACAACAGCATGAAGTATCCTAAGAAGTACACATTCCCCTTAAAATGCCCTGAATACCCACAACTATATGCTAAGCCCGTCCCTGTGCTGTTCATACTCCATCTCCTCCTGTATTCTGTGTTTATGACTGTCTGTCTTCCTTTGTTGCAACCCAGAACCTTTGCTCTACCATTTCCTCCATCTTCCCGGGAACTGTTGCCTCACAGATGCCCAGCTTTCCTCCACTTCCCTAGATTTTGTCTTGCACATATTTAATATTTGTAGGATACCACTATTTTACATTAAAATGGCTTTTTCTTTTTCTCAGAACTCTTCTTGACATAAATGTAATCCCATTTACCTTCAGAAATTCCCAAGGTTGAGGAAGCCTCTCACCTCCTGTTAGTCCTCCCTACGCACACTGCCTCCTACTTCCTCTCCTTTCAGGTGCTTCATCACTCCTTTCCACCATCTTCCTTTCTTTCCTTCTTCCCTCCCTCAGGCAGTCCCCATATTCCCTGCCTTTCCTTATAAACTCTCCTGCTCCAGGACATATTCCATAGTCAGCCCGAGAAAAGATAGCAGTTTTCACGAAAGAAAATCTCATGGTCTGAATTCAGTTGTTTGAATTTATACCATTGTCTTACATCATTAGATTATTTTAGTTTCTATATGAATATAAATCATAAAATTTATTTTCAAGTTATAATTCTATACCATGAAACATGCTCCAAACTCTGGTTTTGTTTTTAAGACAACTAGTCCCTGAGGAGCCCAGGGCTCAGATGTGAAGGCTTAAGGAACTGTCCACGGGGAAGCCTGGGTGCTGCCATGGAGCCTGTTACCGGTTTGGCAGCTCAAGGCTGGCCCCTACTCCTCCCAGCACACGCTCCGGGCATGGACGTGGGGTCACAGCCTGCCTCGGCTTGAAGGTCAGCACGCCCAGGCTTACTGGAACAGCTGTCAGTGTTGCTTCATAAGCAGGGACCTGTACAGCCATTAGTGACCCTTCTGTAATGCAGATACTTTGGAAGGAAATGCCAGGGGTCTGCTTAAAAGTGCTGCTGCTTGCTGCTGCTGCCAAGCAACCAGATTTCCAGAATTAACATTCAGGATTAATAATGTCCCCTGCTTATCAGCCCTTTGTTCCTTTATAGTTCTGTGTGAGTTTTTCAACAACTGTTTCTGAAAGTGATCTGTCCCAGCTGATGCTTTTAATACTCACTGTAAAATTTGATCTGCTTATGAAAATATTCTCAAGTGAACTGTAGCCCAGAAAAATATTAAGCCTGGAAAAGAGTGGTAAAATTGAGGTAAAAGTACATAATGCCAAAATGAAGGGATCCTCATAATTCCTAAGAATTGTTGTTGTTGTTATGTGCTGTCGAGTCAGACCCGACTCATAGTGACCCCTCCTTGGGTTTCCGAGGCGGTATCACTATGGCAGTAGATTGCCCAACCTTCCCTCCAAGGAGTGGCTTCTAGGTTTGAACTGCCAGCCTTCTGGTTAGCAGTCAACTGCCTTAGGTACTGCGCTACCAGAGCTCCCACTCCTGAAAATTAGAAGGTGTAAACCAAACCAAAAACCCACTGCCATTGAATCGATTCCGACTCATAGCGACCTTCTTGGGCAGAGTAGAACTACCCCTTATGGTTTCCAAAGCTGTAAATCTTTACAGAAGCAGACTGCCTCATCTTTTGCCTGTGGAGCAGTCCCACGAACTATAGACCTTTTGGTTAGTAGACAGATGCCATCAGGTCACCTTAGATGATATAAGGGAGCATACAGATAGGCCCAGAATTCTAGGCAGAGTCTGGAGCCAAGGCCCAACTTTGGGTCAAATGTCTAGCTATTTCTTATATGAGAGGCAAAACTCAAAAAGGCAACGTGGTGTTATGTGCTCCTTTGTACAGACTAATATGACATAGTCAGTATGTAACTATTCTTATTATGTGACTACAAGGCATGACTATAACAAACTTGTTGCCAATATGTTGTCCTTCTTGTTTTCCTGTGTTCATTAGAGCCTTTAATCTTCTGCTGGGTTTTGGCCAAACTTCATACCAGAACAAGTTTATCATCGCCACCCTCACCTAAATTTGACAAAGGCAGTTACTAAGTGTATCAGGAGACTTTTCTTCAAATACCGAATCGTCATTATCCCTTCAGTGCTGAAGAATGATCCCTTGAATAGAGTTAATTGAATGATTTTAATCAGGACTTTAGCACCTTGTAAAGAAACAATCCATAGAAAATTAAACCCAGGGAGATGCTGATGAACAACAATTTGGGTTTCTTCCTTTAGTGGCTATTGGAGACTGTACTCTGTATCTGATTTTTCTGTTTTTTTGTTTTTTCCCTCTTTCAATCTATAGGTTCAGCTGTTTGGCAGCTGATTGCATCCTTCCTGAAACTTCCGATCTCAGGCACTCATTGCATTGTTGGCTCTACCATAGGATTCTCACTGGTTGCAATTGGTACAAAAGGTGTACAGTGGATGGAACTTGTCAAGATTGGTAATTGCCATTTTCTTTTACCTATAAGAAGGAAATTTACATTTTCTAGAGTAAGTTTTATCAAAAGTTACCTTTTTAATATGTTTTTCATAATGTTAAGGTTTAGAAGATCTATGTAGGTGATGCATTTTCCTTTAAAATTTCTGTTAATGGGATTGTGAGCTGTTGTATACTAGACAGTTTTTTAACTCCACTCTTTTTAAATGTTGCATTGCCATTCAGCTTTGAAAGTCAGTATATAACTGTTCCCAGAGGGAACAGGAATGTAGCTAAATGAAATCAGTCTGTAGGCCAGAGAAAAATAAGGCCTAAGTCAGGAAAATGCCTGAAATGTCCAGAGTTCATGGTCAAGGGGGAGCCTCATAGTGAACCAAATGTTATTTACCTCACTGCACTCAAGAAACCATCTAATGTGCCCCTAGAGAGAAAGCACTCAAGTGCACCTTCTGGGTTGTTTGCCTGCCCAGTGGGAAACAAGATGTAGGTGTGTACCCATGCATAGAGGTCTGTCAAGCTACTTGCTGGTTCTTTTAGCAAGAGGTAAGTCCATTCAACCTCATAAATAGCAACCCACCCATTATGATAAATATTCATTCATCCCATCTCCATCCTTTTAGCAGAATCGCAGTGGCCTCAGGAGCCCTAGGTCAAACTGGATTCCTCCCCTGCCAAGCAAGGACACAGGGTGCCAGGAAAACCACCTTGTATCCCACACTTCTGGAACAGTGGCTCGCAACTCTGGCTGCTATTTAGAATTACCCCAGGGAAGCCGTTTAAAAATACCAATGCCCAAGCCCCATTCCAAACCTTTTAAATCATGATGTTGTGGGTGGGGCCAGAGCATAACCAGTTTTTGAAAGCTCCCCAGATGGCTCCAATGTACAGTCAGAGTGGGGAACTACTCAAGTAGAGGCTAAAGGTTTCAGAGCTCAGTAGTCAGTTATCAGGAATGAAAGGGCCCACCTGGACTCAGAAAATAGAATGGAAGGTGACCTACCTTTTAGATGACCCTTCCTGGTAGAACAAGGACTCTCCATATGCACTGATAAGAAGAGCAGGCATAAAGGGCTCAGTGGGAATCAGAGGAATCTGTCTTCTGAGGCAAGAGTCCGAGAGAATGATTACTGTGTATCAATGATCGTATTGGTCATATCTTCAGTTTTGTGTGACTGTGTGTGTGTATAAGTATAGTTATACTTATGTGAAGGTCAGCTTGGCCAAGGATTTGTTAGGTTCTGAATTAAGGTAAATGTTTCAGAGAATGTTTATTAATATATGTAATGTATGTTGTTTATCATTGTATTATATAACTATAACTATGTAGAATTTTAACATTCATTTTTTTCTTTTTTTTTTTCTTTTTAATTATCCAGTTGCTTCTTGGTTTATATCTCCACTCTTGTCTGGTTTCATGTCTGGTGTGCTGTTTGTACTGATCAGAATTTTCATCTTAAATAAGGTAAGTGAGGCTGTTATATTAAATTTTAGAACTAATTTAGTTTTACTCAATAGATGCTAATAGTTAGTGGAAGAGGAATAATTGTATTTTCACCTTAAGGCACAGCACTGTAGAGTTAGAATTAGGCATTATTATAAGTAGCCAGAAAGGTAATTACCCAGAGACTCCTCTAGAAGCTAGCATTACAGAAAGTGTTTCTTAGCCCTGTGATTTAGTTCATTAGTCAATACTCCCAGGCATTGTGCTCAGACTTGAAAAAGGAAAAGTAATTATTTTCCTGCATGTTGAACTGAATGGAATAAGACAGCGCTAAGATTTTTAACTTGACTCGGTAGCATAGTGGCTAAGACACTTGCCTGCTAACCAGATGGCTGGCGGTTCAAACCCACCAGCCACTCCTCGGAAGGAAGGTTGGGCAATCCTACTTCCGTAGTGATACTGCCTCGGAAACCCAAGGAGGGGTCGCTATGAGTCGGGGCCGACTCAACGGCACATAACAACAACAACAACAATCATTAAAAACATCTAAAGAATTTCCTTACCCAAATGTAAAGGTCTTTTCTTCTTTTAAAATGGAAAAAGCAAACTTGAAACACTGAATTGATTTGAAGAAAGGAGAAAATATACCTATTAGGAGTACATTTTATCTAAAAAATAAAATGAGATTAAAATTAAAACTTACTATAGGCAGTATTCTAGAAAGAGGCTTGATTACATTTTTTTTTTTTTTTCTAAGATGAATGGGACTGGCAAGGGATTGTTGCAATATTTTATAATCCCAAAAGCTTGCCTTTGAGCCTGGTTGTACTGTTCACTCAGTATATCAGGGACATGCCTTCCTTTTGCTATAATCTTGCTTGAAAATGTGACTAGTTTTTCTTAGGATTACCTAGTCGTCTACTGAAGGACTCATTCCCTCGTGTAAATACAAAATCACCAGCTTCATTTCTCACCATTCCTTCTTCTGGGCTCTTGCCATTCTAATATTTGTTTAGATCTTGGAAGATGCTACCTTCTTTTGCCTCCTAACCTCTCTAACCCTTGCCTGGAACCCATCCTTGGCTTGGAACCTATCCTTGCTTGGCAAACTCCTGCTTCTAATCAGCCTTCAGGTGTCACTTCAGGAAGCCTTCCCTCTACCATCCCAAGACCTGATCAACTCCCTTTTATCCTCACATACCACTCTGTGCTTTCTCGTCATTGCACTTATCACACTGTACAGTGTTTTGTTGCTTGGCTGCCTGTTGCTTATCTGTCTGCGATTTGACTGTAAGATCTTGTGAGAGTAGGGACCGTGACTGTCTACTCACTTTTGTATTCCAGTGCCCGGCACTGTGCAGAACACTTACAGGATACTTGTTAAAGATTTGTTGAGACGGAATGATGGATGCTTGGATGAGTGGTAGATGGATGGAAGGATGGATGGATGGAAAGAAGAACTGGAGGAAGAAAGGAAAAGAGAGAGGAAGGCAGGAAGGAGGAGGGGGGAGGGAGGAAAGAAGGTAGGCCTACCTTCAAATTTGTCATTTGAATTTTAATTATCGATTATTTGAGAAAAAATTAAGTGATTCAGTTAAAAAATACTAACTCAGGGCTTTACGTCTTCAGACATCGTTTGGTTGAGAGTCTTTCTTTAGCAACTATTGTCACCAAGGAAATAACCTTTTGGAAATCAACAGCAGTAGGCAATTGGGCTTCCTAACATTCTGTTGGCCATTCAGCTTGGGTTCTTTTCACATGATACAAATGGTCGTTGCATCACTGACTGTGCCTCCAATCCCTGATTCTTACCTGTTATTCTTGTTGATGCTGTTGTTGGTGCTCTCAAGTCAATTCCAACCCATAGCCACCCTTAGGACAGGGTAGCTCTGCCCCTAGATTGTAATCTTTGCAAAAGCAAATTGCCAGGTCTTTTCTCCTGCAGAGCTGCTGCTGGGTTCTAACCTCCAGCCTTCCAGTTAGCAGCCGAGCTCTTAACCATTTAGCCACCAGACTCCTTTCCTGCCCATTAGTCCTTAGTATTTGCTATTCTTCCACCTCCCCTGCCTGGCACTGATTGTGACTGTCCCACAATTGAATCACTTCCTAACCCTGCTGTTACTGTTCCGTATGCCTCACTACATTGAACTCACACCCCTTGACAAGTGCTGATGGCAACTTGAGACATTCCAGAACAGGCTCTGGGTGAGCTGTGTTGTTCTGCAGACATATTTGATCTCTATACTTGTTTGCATTTGGCAGTAGGTATTTTTGAGATAGTCTCATCTTTTCCATACTTCCATAGCTTACATCAAGGAACTCTGGGGGTGCAGTGCCTAAGGCATTTGACTGTTACCCAGAAAGTTGGTGGTTCAAACCCACTAGCCACTCCACAGAAGGAAGGCTGGGCAATTTACTTCCATAAAGATTTACCACCTTGGAAACCTAGTGGGGGTCGCTGAAGTGATTCACCTAAAAAATACAAACTTAGGACTTTACATCTTCACACTAGATGGCAGTGGGTTTGGTTTGTTTTGGGTATAGCTCACATCAATCTGTAGACCTAATTTTCCTTTTTTCGTGGAGAGATAGTATGTTCATATAAATGGACATGAGTGCCACATGCTTATAGGAAATTAGTCCTTCTTTTGAATTACTCAAGCAACATCTCCTCTATGTGCTAGTGTTGCATTTAGGAGTTCCCAACCCATATTTTTGCTTAAAAATCCTTTATAAATCTGCTTAAAACTCTAAATTTCTAATATTCTCTCAGATACTATTTAACCTAAAACGTGTGTCATTCTTGTTGAAGTATTAGTATGTTTTAGCAGAGCCTAAAGTAGTAACCCATAGTTCTTTTTAACTTTTAATAGTTGAAGATTAAATATTATACCTCATGAAGAGATTTTGAAAATTATGGCACAAGATAGTATGTTTGTTTTATGTATTTTAATATATAGCTAACATTTATTGGGTAGGCACTTGACTGCTAACTAGAAGGCTGGCAGTTCACACCCACCAGCCACTCCTCAGAAGGAAGATGGGGCAATCTACTTCCGTAGTGATACTGCCTAGGAAACCCAAAGAGGGGTCGCTATGAGTCGGGTCTGACTCGACGGCACATAACAACAACAACAACAGATTGATGTAAAATTTAGTACCAATGTAGTGGTTTTAAGTCACTGGATTATTTTAGGACATCCTTAGAAGTTAGTCTCAAATTGTTCATTGAAAGTAGACTCTTAGGGCCCTGAATTGAACTGATCTAGGAAAAGTGTGCTCCACAGGTTTTGAAGCTGAGCCCTGAGCCTCAGTCCCCTGTAACTGACCTAAACTAACAGTTCTTTTTGTTTCTAAATCTGACATCAGCTCATGTGATTCTAGTGCTTTAATGTGTCTGCTGGCCACAATAGTGGCCTCTTTCAAATAGCATTTGTTTAGGAGAAACGGCCCACACTGATGCTGTCTCAGCACACCACAGGGCAGTGAAGTGGCCAGCTCTGGCTACACCGGGGTTTGGACAGACTTTCTTGAATTGTGTTTTATATTATTTTGTTTATGTTCACTACAGATATTCCTGGAAACATCACCTTCTACTTTTTCTCATTACTATACAGGAGGACCCTGTTCCCAATGGTCTTCGGGCACTTCCAGTGTTCTATGCTGCTACTATAGCAATAAATGTATTTTCCATCATGTACACAGGGGCACCAGGTAAGAATTCCTTAGAAGCTTAAACACAGTAGGCTAAGTTATGTTCTAACAGTATTGATTTATTTACTATTTCTATACGATGGCACATAACAACAACAACATAGTGGGACTAAGGAGCTCTGGTGGTGTAGTGCCTAAGGCATTTGACTGCTAACCAGGAGGTTGGTGGTTCAATTCTACCAGGCACTCCCTGGACGGAAAATGGGGCAGTCTACTTCCATAAAGATTTACCGCCTTGAAAGCCCAGTGGGGGTCACTGTGAGTCAGAATAGATTTAATGGCAGTGGGTTTGGTTTTGGTTTTAGTTATATTGGAGCTGGCACTGTTGTTGGCTAACTGTAAAAAAGCATTACTCATGGTTATTAAGGAGTTGTAACAACAGTAGAGTTCCGGGGTGGTGCCAGCAGTTAGTGTGCTGGGCTGTTAACTGAAATACTGGAGGTTTGAGTCCACCCAGAGGGACCTGAGAAGAAAGCCTGGCAATCTGCTTCTGAAACATCAGCCGTTGAAAGCCCTGTGGAGCACAGTTCTACCTTGACACACATGGGGTGACCATGAGTTGGAATTGACTTGATGGCAACTTGTTTTTGTGGTTGTTGTTATGTGCTGTGGAGTTGGACCCAACTCATAGCGACCCCTCCTTGGGTTTCCGAGGCAGTATCACTATGGAAGTAGATTGTCC